AAAAACGTCGACTTGTGTAGAAAGCACTCACTCGTGGCTGCTCCGCTTGCTCCATAGCTCAGGCTGCAGTAGCTCGCTGCGTAGATGGAGATGAAATAGGGCACATCAGTCTTCTCGAGTACTTTGTCTAGTGCTGTATCTAGCACGTCACCAACAACTGGGATTGTGCGCAGAAGATCCTCAAGGGCGTCGTGGAACGCAGTTACCTGGTGCCCGATCAGCAAGATCGCGCTACACAGCTACGTCCACGAGGCGAACTTACGCGCACAAGATAGAATTCACTCAGCCAGCTTGGTCGCACGCCTGCTAGTACGCAACAAAGGCAAAGAATGCAGGCCAGTAAACCGAGAGCTATCCTAACAGAGACGCGCCAGTTGCGAATGCAAACCCTGACTGACATAGCGCAGATTATGCCGTGTTAATGGCTTGGGAGTGTTGACGTAGAGTGTGACCTGTTGGTGCATTAGGGACTTGTCCTGTACATCTCGTATGGGATTGTCAGCAGGCTTACTGATGTCGCTTACATCGAGGTCCTATGCAGAACACGGTCGCCCGAGTGTTGGGTTGCTTGGGGCTAGTGTAAACCACCATACTTCTATCAGCGCGGTCCGTACCCTCGATCAAAGCCAGCCATTATGGGGTCATACGCAAGCGTAATATCGACTGTCTTCTGACAGGCTGGACCTGGCCTACGAGTACCGGCGATACCAGGAATAAGACTCGTGATCTTGTATGGACGGCAGGAAAGCAGTCTGCATCTACATGCGCTGTTAGCGCCTTTGCGGTCCCACGCCGTAGCGATCAGACGACCCTCCAGCTGGTTCAGCGAACCTCAGATGGAAACGACCAGGCCAGGTCACCGTAATCAGCGTCTATGAATTCTATGATGGTGTCAGACCTGTGGCTATATTATGCTGATGGCTGATGGCTCAGGTCCCACAACCAAGATTCTAGACCAGCTCATCCGTGTGGAAGCAGCTTACGCGGATCTCACGTTCCACGCAATCAGAGCGAAGAAAGATCAACGAATCCACAAGTCTCGTCAAGCGAATATCTGTGTTCCACCGACGACTTGCGTTCCTTCTTTTCACGTAGCAAGATGGCTACCGCGAAAGCATGCATTCGCGCCGTCAGGTCGCCCCAGAACGTCTTGATTCTGAAGGGAATCGTGGCTGCCGATGCTCTCAAAATACTGGACGAGCTTCTACAAGGGATACGCAAGGTGAATGAACGCAATTCCACTCTACAACTGTGGGACATCTTTTCTCTCATCTGCGCCAGCGGGGCGGCGGGGTACACTGTGTCCTGATTCTATTTTTGGTAGCTTCTACTTACAGCTCACAGCAAAATGGCCATACTCCTCGGTCCGGCTCAGCAGACTTTAGAGGAATGTCGCGAATTCTTACAGCTTGTAGAAGACAAGAGAACAAGCCTGAGCGGATTCGGGTCCGATTTCGAGTCAATGGCAGACTACTTGCAGATAAGAAGAGATGTGAAAGAGCGCCTGGTTAGAGCACCACCACAGGGGGGCCAATGTGAGGCGTACGTTGAATCGCTGTTCATTTCTTTTCTCGAGTGCTAGACTAAGGCTATCAGGGTCGTTTGGGATTACTACTATGCAGACGAATCACCCAAGGAAATCAAGACGGCAGAGCGAAAACTGACCCTTGAAGACTACTTCTGGAAAGCATGCTGTGTCCGAGAATATCCGCCACTCGGAATCCAAGACCCAAACAACCCCAAGTTTCCATGGCATAGCCTGATAAAAGCTGCTAAAACGGATAACAAACTCCAAGGCAGCGCAATCTATGTTTCCATAAGGACACGTACAGAAAATCCTCTCGAATTGGCAAGCGAGCTGGTAGATTTGAAGCTTGAAGGCATCATGCATTATCCCTTTTTCGTCGATGGCCCGCAGCGTATCGGCAGCAAGAGCCATGATCAGATGATGGAGGCTGCAGTCATGGATCTTGACAGGCGGTTGGGCGATGGTCAGATACACATCGAGGGCCCAGTCTTAACTGCTACACCAGCCAAGTCAGAAGGCCTGTAGAAGCACTTCCGAATTGATCTTCTATACCGCTTGTAGTTCGTCTCCCCTCTGCATTGTTCTACGCGTGGATCCTGGCAGCTTAACAAAACTTGCCTGTCGCAAGTCGCTCATGTCTTGGCGTGACAGCCTACCTCAACAACGAACAGACCATTCTTGCATGCTAGCGATAGGCTAGGCATCCTTTTATCCTTGCTGGGAGTACTTCGTAAGTGATACAACATAGTGAGATGTTACCTACGACGGCAAGTGAGATCACAGTGGGACGTCGCAGGAAGGGAAAACGGAGATGCGTAATGCTCTTCACAGGAGGAAGATGATAGAAAAACGCATCCTTTGGACCAAGCATGTTGGTAACCGTACAGGTTCGCAGTTCTAAGTGTGTCGAAAACAGAAGTCACCGCTGAAGATGTGCGTGTAGCGATGCGCAAGAGAGAAATCTGATGCACAGTCGTGCTCATCGAGATCGACTTCCGCTTGCATCGCGTTTGACTTCGGCGTGCGGATAACCTCGATGGTACAGAATCAACTTTGCGTAAGCCCATCTACGCGTAATGGGTTGTCGCTAGCGTCAACACAATGTGAGAGATATGTCCGCCAACGAATGTCAGCGTTTTACAAGCACACTGCTCGCCAGAAACAGATAGCACACCGGTGCCGTAAGCAGAGACTGTTCAGCGGCGCTCTCGCCGACGTTTGCTATCCGTCTGCAAAGTGATCGCACTATCTGCTACTGTGTGAGATGAAGCGGCCGATAGAGTTCGCGACGATTGCAAGTACTCACCAGCAGCTCGCGATGGATCAATAGTAGATTGGCTGACCCGTAAACGAGTAGACGCTTCGTATATACCAAGCCCTCTTCTCTGGTGAGGAGCAGGTAAAAGGACAGAGCCATCATCGTTAACCAAGCCGGCTTTACTGCAAAGCCTCGATGAAGGAAGCAACTGCCGATACAGAGACAATGTGGCCACTGCAAGACGACAGCTGCCTCACAACCGACGCCACGTCGTACGTCGATGACTACCTCCAAGCCATCGAGTCTGAATTGTTTTGCGATAGTACTCTACGGTGCTTCGACGCCCCCTACCCTGATCTGTACGGGGTGACGGTGGATTGGGAGCCGATGGTCCAACGCCAGCATGCGCCGGCAACGCAAACGGAACAGATGGATATCTCACCCTACTCGTATACTGCTTACACAGTAGCAGGTATGTTTCCTCCGCCGACCGCATAGACTGCACAGGCTAACCCCCTCTGAGCTGATGAGTTGTGTTTTTCGGTCGCCAAGACAGGATCGAAACGAAGCCAGACTCCCTGTTCATCTCCTCCATATCTCTGCACGGATGAGAAAGTCTGCCTTGCCAACGATGACCTGTCAAAGACAGCTGCAACGTCGTTTCCATGGGGATGTACACGAGAACCGCGTTTCGTCACTCCAGATGATCTCGCTGTGCTGCCGAATTTGGCCAGCGAGGACTTCATCGACCAAGCCGCAGATGAAAGAGAAGCCTGGGTATCGCCGGGGGATCTAGTCTTCCGTGGAGGAAGGGAACCAAGATCGGCGCAGGCCCGTCAGAAGCATGAAAGAGATGTGTTGAGGAGATACTCGCGAGCGGAGCATGAAATCGCGTTCCTATCGAGGAAAACTCGCCACAGCACTATGAACACTACCAGACGCAAGGGAGGTGCAGTAGGAAAGCAGGCTGGAGTGAAGCGCCAAGAACGTCGTAGTCGGTAGCGCTGCACCATAGATGAACTGCTTGCGTTCTTAGCCAGATAGCAATTCATAGAGAAGTCTCCCAAATGTTTCCGTGGACGCATATCCTGAAGCGATCGTTTCTTACAACGGGAAACACACGTTGCGCATCATGCACGCCATTGCGTAACATTCGGTAGCATAGAGGAACGAACAAACTCGTTTTTAAAGTACCAATCTGACTTGCACAATGTCCATGACAGAGGCGCGAGATGGGTTCACTGAATGGTCAAACTACAAACACATAGTCTCATCTCAGCAATGACTTTCTCGTGCACAAACTGTTGCTCAATCGTGGGCGCCAGAGCTGAGGCCGCCTGACCACATCTTGAGATTGACTCCCTTTCCTGGACCGCATACATTTATTCTGTGTTACCATTCTGCTAAGGTGAGCACCCACCGTAAGTGATGACAGTCAATAAGACGCTGCCGAAGATAAAAGCCTATCACTGTACCAGCGGACCTGAGCAGTACAACGAGGATTACACGCGAAGTAGCAGCACTGTGTATGCAAGAGAGATGTTGCGCACGCAAGATACGACACAGCTTATGTCTTACTTTCTTTCTT